TATTTATATTATATAGTAGAGAGCGAGATACTGAAAAATACACAGCGAGATATTTTCCATATCTTCACTGTTGAAGATATCAATCGTGTGACTTTTAGTGTTTATATAAACATTTTTTTGCTTGCGACTACTGTATATAATAAACAGAACATTACACGGTGGACAATCTTCTCGTGTCAAAAACAATATTTTACTCACTCGCTGCGCTCGTTCGTAAAATATTGTTTTCACCACTCGAAGATAAAAGTCATTAATCTTCGCGCCGCCATGTAATATATATCCTCTATATATATCCCTCCGTAATCCCTATGTAATCCCTAATAGCCTATATCCCTCCGTATACGATCCCTCCGTAACATTATGCGGGTAAAATGGAAAGAAAAGACGCCACACAGCGAAGTGCTAGAGCGGGCAAAATGTTGTAGCGTTGAAAGCATTCTGAAAAAAAGCCAGCTTCAGTGGGCTGGTCACATTGTGAGAATGGATGATGAACGATTACCTAAAATATTGTTGTACGGGGAGTTACAACAAGGAAACCGAATGGTGGGAAGACCGCGAAAAAGGTATAAGGATAGCCTGAAAGATGCGCTAAAATCAGTAAAGTGCAATGTTCCGCTGCAATCTTGGGAAACACGTGCAGAAGATAGGGCTTCATGGCGAACTGCAATCCATACTGGCGGTTCAATGATTTGAAGCAGACCGGACAGAGAGAATACGACAAGCCCGACTCCGGCGTAAATGGCCTGATCAAGCTGATGCAACAGGATTCACGTGTGATGTGTGTCAACGGCCCTGTGCGAGCCGAGCGGGTTTGGTGGCTCATGGGAGAGTTCATAGACGGTGACCCAACCTCCGACGAAAAAGGACATCTTCGAAATCGAAGAGTCATCCATTATATATATACAAAAAACCTGTTATGCTCATGAGCATGATCATAATACATACCAAAATCCAGTACGGTCATGAGCATGCATATATATATATATATATATATATATATATATATATATATATATATATATATATATATATATATATATATATATATATATATATATATATATATATATATATATATTATAATATATATATATATATATATCACCAACCCTTCTCCGATCAAGTTCATCCTTGATGAAGGGGCATGCCCGGAAACGTTGGTTTAGAATAAATGTTGTAATAAAAAAGTTTAGTTTGTGATTTATTTTTATATATATATATATATATATATATATATATATATATATATATATATATATATATATATATATATATATATATATATATATATATATATTTAAAATTAATATATATATATATATATATATATATTTAAAAATTCATTAATAATTCACGAGAAAAATACAAAAGAAATTAATGTTTAATCAATGTTTGTAAATTGGATAAAGATTTGTCCTGATTCACATAAACTTCAGCTTAGATTTTCTCGGCTTAGACATTATGTTTATTTTCAAAATTACTTTGTCAATGAACTCATAAGATGGGTCATTTTTTAAGTATGATAAAACGTTATAATATAGCATTTGTAAATTCTGAACGCTGATTGGTTAAGAGCCGTGTTGATATAACTCAATGTCAACACGGAAACGTCGGAAAAATTCTATCTTTATATTTCTTTGTGCTATATTATAAAACAAATATAAAACATTTTTTCCGTATTGATACACAGTTATATCAACACTCGTGGAAATTGGGAAAACTCGAAATTGTGTGAAAACACTCCGCCCTTCGAGCGTCGTGTTTCCACACAATTTCTCGTTTTCCAATTTCCACTCGTGTTGATGTAACTGTATATCAACACAGAAAATGTTTTATATTTTCGGCTCGCGTTTGTATATCAGATACAGATTGGCTGCTCATGTTTTGTCTGGTACGTATAACCGAAATCTAGTATAGTCGCAAGCGTGCTCATATATATCAATACATCCTCTTCATTTCTGATGTATACCATCATCCTTAAATCTATGATGTACATTTACCATCATACCATGCAGGGGCAAAACTTGAGGGGGGTAGTAACACCCCCCCCCCTCCCCCCCAAAAAAATACGAATCATCTGGATTGGCAGGGCAATCAAAGATTGTAAATGATAGAATGTAGAGTTATTGAGTAACTTACAGGGAATTTATGGAATCCATAGACCTAAATTTTACAGATACTGGTCCAAAAAAAAGGGTTTCACACATGTTTTAACAGGAATTTGTATGAAAAAATTGTTTGAACCATAATTTAACTGGTTTGTGTCTGGAAAAATTTTTCGACCATCTTTTTTTAATGTTCGGAAAAAATTTTTGGGGGGGAAAATATGGTCTCAAAAATAAAAATTTTCTGCAGGGCATCATCAGTTTTGGCAGGGCAATTCTGGCAGATACCCCCCCCCCCGAATTAAGAGGGGCTAGTTTCGCTCCTGCATCATACAGACACCCCTGCATCATACAGACACCCCTGATCCTCACCCCACCCCCCACTTTAACCCCCTCCTAATCAGAAGCACATGACCCCACACATTGAGGCGGGGTGGAACGAAAAACTCCCCAACGCGGTGCGACCTACCTCCTTGTCCACTTTTAGCAAACCCAAACACATGTCCACCCCTTAGGATGTTTACACAGCTCATAGATTGAGTAAACGCCAGGATTCAATTAGCTTCAAACTTAGACGCTTTATACTTTCATCGATCCTGAACTGAAGTTATAATAATAAGTGTTTAAAATCAGGAAAACTTGCGAAGATAGAAGAATAAAAGCACTTAAGACAGTAAAAACTCAATCAATTTTACTTGTTCTGTCAAAACAGAAAGTTGGACAAGTCAAAAAACGCTTTCCAGCGTGAAAAACTATCGTAAACAGTATTAAATTTGACCAATATAAACACAATGCAATATTTATACTGAACAGTTGACAAAATTGATTGAATCGGCTACGAACTGAAGCATTTACCTCGTAAACAATACCTGCTTTTGTATTTATTCCAAATGAGGCAACAAAGTTCACTTTTCAAAATACCCAAATATACGTCTTTTACCCAAAGAATTTATTATTGAATGTTCATATAAATTCATCAGGAAACACTTGGCCAGTATTATATAGCTTTTTCTTGCAAATATCTTGACAACTGATTGAAAACGACACAGGAATGAGCAGACAACAAGAAAACAAAAATTTGCTTCGAAAAAGACAAACACGCCGTCCCAGATTAAAACCCGGAAGTGAACGCGAGGGGCATTACGTCATTTTCACACGCGGCGTCGCTCACCTACCTTCAAATTTTCACCACAAATTTTAATTTTTGTCAATTTTAAAAGAATCTTCACAGTGGAAATCTTGTAATAAAATTTTCGCTTTTAAAAAAATCGCATTGTAAAGAATTTTATTAAATTTTCTCAATAGTTGCAAACATAATGCTCTATAAAGGGCCAGACTGGAATCTTTGCTGTGCGCGGGGAAGTTCTTCTCCGCGCAATTTTGATGCTTTCTATACATTTACTATTAAATTTTCGAAATCTTCCCCGCGCAATTTCCAAACTTTCCAGTCAGGATAAAGGGCCTGTGGAACCAGGGTACATGCTCTATTGATATGAAATATTAAAAACGATAGGTCACATCGACTTCATTTTTCAGATAAAGACAATTTTGTGGCTAAAATAAGCTGGTTTTAAACCTTCACCATGTTGCCATAGCAAGTCGAACGACACTGTCAAAACTTAGATATTCCTACCAAATAGAAAAGAATGCACGATCTGCATTATACAGGGTGTCCCAAAAAACCCGAAAACTATTGAAATCACTTGTTTAAATTGAATGCCCTACCAAAAAGCTGAACGTAATGATGCGTAAAATTGAAAAGGCGCATGTATTAAAATTTAGTTAATAACATCTTATTGCAAAGTGCGCGATTTTCTGCTCTTGGGAATTTAAAGCAGCTTCTTAAATAGTTTTTTTATGCATAAAATTTACTTGTGTCAATCATTTATGCACTCGTAGGAACCAACAGAGTGCTAAGGCATTCAAATTCTAACAATTAAATTGTTATTGGTGATTTCAATAGTTTTCGGGTTTTTTGGGACACCCTGATAATAGGCCCGAACTGCACAGATTTTGGGCAAATAGAGTCAACTGTAGGGAGCCACCTTAAAAGAGGTCGTATTTACCGTCGTAAGTGTATGAAGCAGTATTTAAAACACACACAGGAGCGTTTTATCATATTTAAAATGCGAGTGCCCAGCACGAACATTTTGGATATGATAAAACACGACTACAAGTGTTTCAGTTGATTAGCTTCAAACACGACTACAGTAGATGCCGTCTCGATAGTATTCTTTATATACAGAATACTAATGAAGATGAGTTTTATCAGGTACACACACAAAAATCACACATCTTGTAACAAGTTTGCCAACAGGCCGTCAACAAGATGTGTTCGCACTGCTTGTCACAAGTTGTCAACAGGTTTGGAACAACTTGTTGCCAACTTGTAACAACCTTGTGGAAATTATCAGATTTATTGCAAGGTTGTTCTGACAAGTCCGTTACATGCTTGACATAACAAGATTGTTACAACCTTGTGTTGACAACCTTGTACCATCCTTGTTATATCATGGCTGTAATAAACTTCCTAGCACAGTCTTGTAACAAGGCTGATAATGCCTTGTTACAAGTTGTTAACAGCTTGTTCCAAACTTGTTACAATAAACAGGGAACAAGCAGTGCGAACACAACTTGTTTGCAGACTTGTTACAAGCTGTGCGTATTTACGCGTGTATCTGAAGCCTCTCCACGTGACATATTATGGTTGACATGATTTGCCAATAAGCTTATGAATCATTAATGAGTGTTTGAATATAATTTCAAGATTTCGTTGACTTCTCACTCGATTGAATAATAGTTGAAGGATCTTGTAGATGGAAATTACTGAGTGGAAATTTATATACATTTATTACTGACCAAACCAGGAACACCTGCGAGAAATGCAACAATAGGCCTTCTGTCAGGAATCGAACCTGCGCTTCCGGTGCAGCGCTTTAACCAACTGAACTACAGAGAGACAGTTGTCGAACTCTAACCAACTGAGCTACAGAGAGACAGTTGTCCAGCTCTAACCAACTGAGCTACAGAGAGACAGTTGTCAAGCTCTAACCAACTGAGCTACAGAGAGACAGTTGTCAAGCTCTAACCAACTGAGCTACAGAGAGACAGTTGTCCAGCTCTAACCAACTGAGCTACAGAGGTCAGTTGTTAAGCTCTAACCAACTGAGCTACAGAGGTCAGTTGTCGAGCTCTAACCAACTGAGCTACAGAGAGACGGTTGTCGAGCTCTAACCAACTGAGCTACAGAGAGACAGTTGTCAAGCTCTAACCAACTGAGCTGCAGAGAGACAGTTGTCGAGCTCTAACCAACTGAGCTACAGAGAGACAGTTGTCGAGCTCTAACCAACTGAGCTACAGAGAGACAGTTGTCGAGCTCTAACCAGCTGAGCTACAGAGAGACAGTTGTCGAGCTCTAACCAACTGAGCTACAGAGAGACAGTTGTCGAGCTCTAACCAGCTGAGCTACAGAGAGACAGTTGTCGAGCTCTAACCAGCTGAGCTACAGAGAGACAGTTGTCGAGCTCTAACCAGCTGAGCTACAGAGAGACAGTTGTCGAGCTCTAACCAACTGAGCTACAGAGAGACAGTTGTCGAGCTCTAACCAACTGAGCTACAGAGAGACAGTTGTGGAGCTCTAACCAACTGAGCTACAGAGGGCAGTTGTCAAGCTCTAACCAACTGAGCTACAGAGGACAGTTGTCAAGCTCTAACCAACTGAGCTACAGAGAGACAGTTGTCGAGCTCTAACCAACTGAGCTACAGAGAGACAGTTGTCAAGCTCTAACCAACTGAGCTACAGAGAGACAGTTGTCGAGCTTCTAACCAACTGAGCTACAGAGAGACAGTTGTAGAGCTCTAACCAACTGAGCTACAGAGAGACAGTTGTAGAGCTCTAACCAACTGAGCTACAGAGAGACAGTTGTCGAGCTCTAACCAACTGAGCTACAGAGAGACCGTTGTCGAGCTCTAACCAACTGAGCTACAGAGAGACAGTTGTCGAGCTCTAACCAACTGAGCTACAGAGGACAGTTGTCGAGCTCTAACCAACTGAGCTACAGAGAGACAGTTGTCGAGCTCTAACCAACTGAGCAACAGAGAGACCGTTGTCGAGCTCTAACCAACTGAGCTACAGAGAGACAGTTGTCCAGCTCTAACCAACTGAACTACAGAGAGATAGTTGTCGAGCTCTAACCAACTGAGCTACAGAGAGACAGTTGTCGAGCTCTAACCAATTGAGCTACAGAGAGACAGTTGTCGAGCTCTAACCAACTGAGCTACAGAGAGACAGTTGTCGAGCTCTAACCAACTGATCTGCAGAGAGACAGTTGTCC